TTATTGTGATATTTTTTGTAATATATACATATCTCGAGTCAGTATGTTGTACATATGAAACTAATGTTATGTGTCAATTATGTATGAACAGGAAAGTTAAATTACAAAGGATAAGAAAAGGAACTAAAACTGAAACTAAATTTAAAGAACTGAATCTACTGAAGGAAATAAGAAAGCACTAATGCAAGTAAATCATCAATATAGTATTTGACGTACACCCTCACTCCTCGGCAAAAGAGTAGAGGGGTGAACTGTAAACAAATCACAAAATCTTTTTCCTCTTTTTCAACTGTAAGTTGTTTATTGAAGAATTTATTTTTTTAATTTATTTTATTGAAGTACAGTTGATTTACAATGTTGTGTTAATTTCTGCTGTATAGCAAATTGACTCAGTTATATATGTATATATATATTTCATATTCTTTTCCATTATGGTTTATCACAGGATATTGAATATAGTTCCCTGTGCTATACAGTAGGACCTTGTTGTTTATCCATCCTATATATAATAGTTTGCATCTGCTAATCCCAAACTCCCAATCCATCCCACCCCCACCCTCCACTCTCTTGGCAACCACAAATCTGTTCTCTATGTTTGCAAATCACAGAATCCTTTTAGTAGATTTGTTTTTCTAGGGTTCTACATTCTGAAATAATTTTAGAAGCATTATAAGGTAGAGCAAATGAGTAAATGTACTGATGTTGATCAGAGTCAGATTCACACTGTGGAAGGAAAGATATACACACCGGAAATAGAGAAAGATAAGAACAAGTCTTGAGGGGAGAGAATGAAATTGAAAGTGTCTTTGAGAAACCATGATTTCTAAATATGTCTGTGAATATGCATATACACATATATGTGCACGTTTATGTATGTAAGCATACGTGAAGATGACTATATGGATATGTATATCCATATATGTATATCATGTGTACCTGTATGTGGACATGCATATGTATTACACTGAGGCACTGACAACATGCCAAAATCTTCTGCGTGATCTGTCAGGCCCAACCTTAGACAATTACAAAGGCTTGATCTGGCAGCTGTCATGGGGGAAATCTTCATACTCCACACTAGACTCTGAGACATAGCCAGTGCACTGCAGACACTGGAATTAGTGCAGTCATGGACTAAGGCCATATCTGCATTCTTAGTCTGAGTGCCTCAATTCTGAAGCATTCTTATGTGGGGAGGACTCAGCTGAGACCCTGTACATAGACCACCTTTTCATTGGACCTTGTAGACCTTTTTATTATCTCTGACTCTGTTTTCAGTACTTTTGCACTCCTCCTAGACCTCCCACTTCCATCTCCTCTCAGATCTATAGAACAGCAAGAACCTTTTGTTTGGAGCTCCCTTGGTTGTGAGATGATCTTCCCCTACCCCAGCCCTGTCAGCACTGATGTATCTGACCCTCATCCAATGATGTTCTGTGGGGGAAAATGGAATATTGGTATGGCTGGGAACCTTTCCTGTTTAGGCTCTTATACTATTACAGTAAGTGAATAAATGCTTAAATTTACTTTCAATTTACTTGCTGTCTTACTTGACCAACTCAAAAACTGGCAGCTCGCTCCCTGACAAGTTAGCACAGTGAGCAATGTGGTCAATGAAGCACAATTCCTTTCTGGAAGGTGAGTACTAGTGAGTACTCAGGGCTCTCTAAGGGGGCACTACTGAGTCATTTGTTAGGGTCTGAGGTTCCCACAGGGCACATGACCATTCAGGCCAACGTGTCTCAGGAACTGCCGACAGATTGTGTGACATGCTTAGGAGAGTGTTATTTTATTGTTTACATGATCCTTCTTTTTTTTTTTTTTGCGGTACGCGGGCCTCTCACTGTTGTGGCCTCTGCCGTTGTGGAGCACAGGCTCCGGACGCGCAGGCTCAGAGGCCATGGCTCACAGCCCCGTGATCCTTCTATTTTAATAGTCCTGTTTTGCTGGCCAAGATGCCCAGTGGGTGGGTCAAATTAAACATCAAACAGGGATTTTGACAAAACTGGGGAAGCAATTCCTTGGCTACTTACAGTTTCATCAATAATGGGATCAGGGCTTCCCTGGTGGCGCAGTGGTTGAGAGTCCGCCTGTCGATGCAGGGGACGCGGGTTCGTGCCCCGGTCCAGGAGGATCCCACATGCCGCAGAGTGGCTGGGCCTGTGAGCCATGGCCGCTGAGCCTGTGTGTCCGGAGCCTGTGCTCCGCAGTGGGAGAGGCCGCGACGGTGGGAGGCCCGAGTACCGCAAAAAAATAAAAAATAAAAAAATAATAATGGGATCAAAAGTTGTTGGTGACCCTGCATGCTGAGTTGCACTCAATGACTACTGTTAGATCTAATGCTCCTGGAACTTATGTTCAGCCTTTGCTATAGTGGTTACTGCAATTCATGATTTAATGAAAAGGAATGTAGAGTGCTGAGGATCACTTTACCCAGTGACCTGAAGAGACCTTATAGACGTGGGTCGTTCATCTTCACATTTAAAGGAGTATCTTGTTAAAGAAGTAATCATGTAACCTTGCCGGGTTGCTAATACAGAAACATTTCTTGGAGAACCTTGACAATGGCCACACTGCACAAGGAGGTGGAATAAAGGAGTATGAAAAAATACAGACATCCAAGACTCTCTTTCCTCAGCTGGGTACTGTTTTGGATCTGACAGATGGCTCATCCTTGCCTTTGTAAAACACGTTTTAACCATACGTGAAAAGGCAATAGTGACTCCATGAGCCACCCTGGTGGTGCCTAAGATATACAATGAGGGAATGAGGACAGCAGATGAGATTGTTTTTTTTTTTATTTACCAGATTCAGGTTCCTAGGTTCATTTGTGCCACTATTGCTGGACATCAAGCTCGATAAACATCCTAATAAGGTCAGGGCAATTGGTCTACGACACAATCTGGACCTTAACTGACAAATTTCTGGACAAGTAATAGTGAATAATGCCAAGATAGCAATGACTGACCAGAAGAGAGAATGATGTAAAAATGGTAGTCTAGTAACCACCCCGGACCATCTGGGCAAAGGCCTTAAAGAGATCAAAGGGTGTGTTACCCCCAAAACAGGGTCTCAAAGGAGGAGATTGATGGGATATTTACCAAGGACCCGAAGGCCAGGTAGTGGGATAAGGGAAGCCCAACAGGCCACTACTGTGGCCTATGACTAACACAGGTGCTATGTTTCTGCTTTTCCCAGTGATCCTTGCCATGAATCAAAATGCTCTGCCAACTTTTACCAAGACTTTACGGCTTTCAAGATAAACAAGACTATGGGTTAGGCCGGGCCCCATATATCCAGTGGGAATGTGAGGACTTATGATAAAGTTAGAGTTCAATGGAGATGTGCAGAATTGCATTCCCAAGCCTGTGGGACATGGGTGCATAGGTGACTGTGATCACCACAACCCCTGACACCAGGATGAGGAGGACACTGATAATGCCGAGGTGGTACTCCATGGCCACCACCAATGGGAAACTTACCCAGACCCCACAACAGTGTACCCACTCAGGCCACCTCAAAACTCCATTGTTATAGCCCCCACTGTTGAATGCATTATTGGTATAGAAGTACTGTTTACATGAACCCCTACTTGCATTCACCCCAAACCCTGATAGAAAATACCACTTTAGCAAGACAAGTGGAAGACTGTGAAACTACTCAACTACCAGAATCTAGTACTTTGTTCCTCAAAAACAAATGCGTGAAGAAGAAAAGTAAATAACTGTCCTTACTGATGAGCTTAATGAAGCAAAAATTCTCCCTGAGACTGTTTCTTCATTCAGTAGCTCAGTGGACCTGGGCATATGTCCTTGTGTGTGTAGAGACTCCAGTGATAATTGGCAGCTCAGTGATGTAGTCCCCAGGCACTAGTTATATCTGATATTGTGACTGTCATGGAAGCTACTGTCCATAGTGAGAGAATTTGGTATTCTGTAATAGACAGTGCAAATACCCTACGCAGTATCTCTGTCCACATGGATGATTAGGATCAGTTCGTCATATGGGGAATAGATTGCAATGCCTCACTAATGTCCTTCCATAAAGCTTCATAAATTCCCCAACTATCTTTCACCAAACAGTCTTGACCTAGAAATGTCCTACACCCTGAGGGAGCACTACCCTTCCAGTCTATTGATGACATCATCCAAATAGGTCCATACAAGGGCACCACTTAACAAGAACTAGACGTCCTACAGACCAATATGTAGCAACATGGCTGGACCATTATTACAGATAAGACATAGTTACCCAGTACCTAACTGAAATCACTGGGCAAAATCTGTGAGGGGCACAACATCTCATTCCAAAGGAGAAGACTGCCAAGCTTTGACACACTCTACTTGAACAACTGAAAATGAGGCCCAGCTATTGGTGGGACTATTTGGATATTTGCACTCTCATAGTCCCCATGTGTGGTTCTTGATGGCATCCATTACATCCATTACTATTAGATTACTTCAAAGGCCACTATTTTCAGTGGGGCCACAACCAAGAGGACGCACTTGAGGCCCTCCACCAGGCCTCTCAGGCTATCCTTCCCTTGGGGCCCTCTGATCCTCATTTGCTGTTAGAGTTACAGCTCTCAGCAACATCTCTGTTCACCAAGTACAGTCTGTGGTAGAAGGCTACTACCATAGGTCACAGACAGACACCCTTTGGAGTTTTGGACCTATAATAATCTTCCAGTCTGCTGAAAGGTATGCATCTTTTGTGAGAAAATTATTGGCCTATGATTGAGCCTTGGTGTCTGAGTATATGACCTATGACTGTGAAATAATATTACAACCAGAAATACCAATGTAAGTTATGAATACTTCGACTTTTGCTCTCTAATTTTCTTAGGCTATTTACAACTAACATCAAAGAAACTATAAATGTTGCATAAAATATAATCTCAGATGCATATTCATGAACCAAAGAAAAATATTTTCTACTGAGTTTAATTAAAATAATTTAAAGTTATCTGTAATTATTATACTACTTAAGGTATATTTTACCTTTGAATGTTCTCTGTGTATTTACTTGCATTTGTGCTTTTGATATTGAGTCTTGATCCTCATAGAGAAGATTTCCATCTGGTACTTCAAACTGAGCTACATAAAGAGAAGCATATAATCAAATAAATAGAAAAATAGATCTATTGTGAACCCCTAACTTTCAAATTTATAACAAATGTACAGCATAAATTCTTCTCAATTTTATAGACTTATAAGTAGATTACCATAATGCTAGATCTAACATGAAAAGAGAAGAGTTTTAATGGGTATACATTGAAACTGTCTCATTATTTCATTAATAATCCTAGGCATCACATGTGCTTTCTATCATTCTCTATATTTCCTACGTAGGACTTTTATACTTAAGTTAAAACTTAATTATAGGATAAAATATCAGGAAGATGGAGGACTAGGAAGTTCCAGACCCTCATTACCCTATGGAGACACTAAGTTAATAACAATATACAGACCAAAATATCATTATGAGAACTCTAGAAACCAGTTAAGAAGCTGCAACATCCAAGTGAATTACTAACTAAGAAAAACTGTACCAAAGAGGGTAGGAAGGGTCATGGCATTTTGCCCAGCTTAGTTAGCCCCACCATCTCCCTGGCAGAGTGTGCCACAGTGTGCCACAGTCACAAGGAAGTCTCGCAATTTCCAGATCCTCCACTGGGATGAAAAGAGTGAAACTTGCATCCAACTTTCTGGCATGTCTAGGCACTGTCTGACTCATTGGTTGCTGTCTTGCCTGATCTGGAAAGCTGATGGGGACAGTTCCATAGTTAGATACCAGGTTGGAGACTGCTGAAAACAAAGGCAAGTGCTGTCACACATTAGAGCTGCAGGGGTTATGAAGTTCTGCAAATGATGGAGGAGCAAGAGATTACAGGTAGAGGAATACAAGAGAAACCAAAACAAAAATCTCCTGAGAAGAAACAGGAGAGATCCTCTTAGGGAAATTAGGAGAGTAAAAAAAAGTCATATAGGGCTTCCCTGGTGGCGCAGTGGTTGAGAGTCTGCCTGCCGATGCAGGGGACACGGGTTTGTGCCCCAGTCCGGGAAGATCCCACATGCCGCGGAGCGGCTGGGCCCATGGCCACCGAGCCTGTGCGTCCGGAGCCTGTGCTCCGCAACGGGAGAGGCCACAACAGTGAGAGGCCCGCGTATCACAAAAAAAAAATAAAAATAAAAATAAAAGAGTCATATATACTAGAATAAAAGTACACACAAGCCCAGAGAAGATACATCCCCAGCGAAGGTTTGAGAAGTATCAGAACCTCCATGTCAGGCTGATTAGTCAAGGTGTTCCCCTGTATCTGAAAAGACTGAGAGAGACAGCTATGTTTTCAAATTCCCAAATCTCAACAAAATATGACAAAGCATACAAAGAAACATGGAAACGTGTCCCAATTACGGGAAGAAAATAAAGTTCCAGAAACCAACCCTAAAAAACCACAGGTCTGTGAATTACCTCACAAGGAATTTTAACAACTGCCTTAAAGATTCTCAATGAGCTGAAAGAAATATAAACTAAATGAATCAGGACAATGAAGCATGAACAAAATTAGAATATCAACAAAGATATAGAAACTATAAAAAAAAAAACCTCTGGTGCTGAGCAATATAATAACTGAATTGAAAAATTCACTAAAAGGGGTTCACCATCAGACTTGATCAGGCAAAAAAAAAAAAATCAGCAAACTGGGAGACAGGTCATGTGAAATCATTGTATCTGAGGAGCAAAAAGAAAAAAGAATTAAGAAAAGTGTAGAGAACATGAAGGATTTATGGGACCCTATCAGGTGGACAAAGATATGCATTATGAAAGTACCAGAAGAGAAGAGAGAAAAAAGGGAGCAGAGAGTTTATTTGAAGAAATGACAAAACTTACCAAATTTTAAAAAGAAATGGATATACAAATTCAATAAGCTTTATAAACTCCAACTAGGAAAAACCCAAAGAGACCAACACCGAAACACAATGTAGTCAAACTGTCAGAAGTCAAGGAAAAAGGGAAAATCTTAAAAGAGGCAAGAGAAATACAATTTGTCATGTGCAAGGGAGACTCTATAAGATTATAAATGAATTTCTCAGAAACCTTGAAGGCCATAAGACAGTGGGATGATACTTTCAGAGTGCCAAAAGAAAAAAACTGTCAACCAAGCATACGATATTTGGCAAAACTGTCCTTCAAAACTGAAGGGGAAATTAAGACTTTCACAGATAAACAAAAGCTGGCGGAGTTCATACCACTAGACCTGCTCTGCCAGAAATCCTAAAGGAAGTCTTTCAAGTTGAAATGAAAGGATATTAGATGGCATCATGAAGCTGTATGATAATATAAAGGTTCTGGTTAAGATAAATATATGGACAAATGTAGAAACGTATATTACTGAAATTTTGAGGCACAGCTTCCCTTTTAATTCTTATATAGAATTAGGAGAAAAAGCATAAAATAACTATAAATCTATGTTAATGGGCACACAGTATACAAAGATGTAATTTGTGACACCAATAAATAAAGTGAGGGGGAAGAGCTTTAAAGGAGTACAGTTTAGTGACTGAAGTATGTATGTGTTTGAAGTTAACTTGTTACTGGTATAAAATATATTATTGTAACCATAACGAAAACATTTATAGACTATTCATGTCATGGATACATGTTTGTATCTCCCAAAATTCATATGTTGAAGCCCTAACCTCCAATGTGATGGTTTTGGAGATGGGGGGAGGGAAGTAATTAAGGTTAAATGATATCATAAGGGTAAGACCCTGATCTGATGTGATTGTTGCCCTAATAAAAAGAGACACCAGAGCTTTCATTCTCTCTCTCTCTCTCTCCATTTGCACACAAAGAAGAGGTCATGTGGGTACACAATAGATGGTGGACACTTATGAGCCAAGAAAAGACATCTCAGAATGAAATCTAACTTACTGGCACCTAGATTTTGGACTTCACCTACAGAACTGTAATAAATAATTTTCTGTTTTTTTTTTTTAAGTGACCCTGTCTATGGCTTTCAGTTATGGCAGCCTGAGAAGACTAATACACAAAAGGAAATGAGAAGAGAATTAAAGCATGCCACTGCCAAAAAAAATCAGTGAAAGACAAAGGAAGAAAGTAAAATGGGAAATGAGGAGCAAAAAAATTATGAGACATACAGGAAATAATTAACAAAATGGCAAAAGTAAGTCCTTTCCTAACCAACTGTATGCCAACTAATTGGATAACCTAGAGAAATGGATAAATTCTTAGAAACACACAACCTACCAATGTAAGTGGGTTAAACTCCCTGGACACAGAGTAGCTGTACATATAAAAAATAAGACCCACCTATAATGCTGTCTACAAGAGATTCACTTAGGTCTAAGGACATATATAGACTGAAAGTGAAAGGATGGGAACAGATACCCCATGCAAATGATAACCAAAAGAGAATAGTGATGGCTATACTATAATATCAGACAGAAGAGACTTTAGTCAAAACCTGTTAAAGAGACAAAGTAAGACATTATATGATAATAAAAAGGTCAATTCTCCAGGAATATGTAACATTATAAATATAAACATTATAGTGTTTATATATGTAAACATATATTCATCAGAAATGAGAACTCCTAAATACGTGAAGAAAACATTAACCAGATTGAATGGAGAAATAGACCATAAAACAAAAATCGTAGGAGACTTCAATACCTCATTTTCAATAATGGAAAGAACAACCAGAAAAAAGATCAATAAGAAAATTAGAGGATTTGAACAACACTATAGGCCAATTGGACATTATAGATATATGCAAAAAAACCTCCACCTAACAACATCAGAATACATTTTTCTCAAGTACACATGGAACATTCTCCAGGATACTGTTATTACGCAAAATAACTTTTCTGATCACAATGGAAAGAAACTAGAAATTAATAGTAGCAGAAACACTTGAAAATCCACAAATATGTGGGAAATATAAAAATATATTCTCAAAAAAAACAATGGGTGAAGTAGAAATTGCGAGAGAAATTAGAAATTATCTTGAGACAAATGAAAATGAAAACACAACATAACAAAATATATGCAATGCAATGAAAGCAGTGCTAAGAGGGAAATTTATAGCTATGAATGCTTACATTAAAAAAGAAGAAATGTTTCAAATAAACAACCTAACTTTACAACTCAAGGAACTAGAAAAAGAAGATAAAACTATACCCAAAGATAGCAGAAGGAAGGAAATAATAAAGATTAGAGCAGAGGTAAGTGAAACAGAGAAGAGAAAAACAATAAAGAAAATGAATAAAACCAGGAGTTGGTTTTTTGAAAAGACCAACAAAATTGAAAACATTTAGTTAGATAGCTAAGAAAAAAGGGAAAAGACTCAAATAATTAAATAAGAAATGAAAGAAGAGGCATTACAACCAATGCCATAGGAATAAAAATTATTATAAGAGAACATTATGAACTGTATGCCAACTATCTGAAGTACCTAGAAAAAAATGAATTCTAAGAAACACAACCTACTAACTGAATCATGAATAAACAGAATATCTGAAAGAACAGTAACTAGTAGATTAAATCAGTAATCAAAAACCTCCCGACAGATAGAAACTCAGGACCAGACAGCTTCACTGCAGAAGGCTACCAAACATTAACAACAACAACAACAAAATTAACACTAGTCCTCATCAAACTCATCCAAAAAAATGAATAGGAAAACTTTTAAACTCATTCTATGAAGCCAGTATTAACCTGATACCAAAGTCAGACAAAGGGATTATATGAAAGGAAAATTACAGGCCAGTATACCTGATGAACACAGATGCAAAACTCAACAATATACTAGCAAACAGAATTCAAGAGCTCATTAAAAGGATTAAATACCACATCCAAGTGGGATTTATTCCTGGAATGCAAGGTTGATTTAATACATGAAAATCAATTAATGTGACACATCACATTAATAGCATGAAGGAATAAAAAAACACACATGACCATCTCAACTGATACAGAAAATTAAACATCCTTTTATGATTAAACAAAACACTCAACAAACTAAGATTAAAAGCAAAATACCCACATATAATAAAGACTATATAAGCAAAGCCCACAGCTAACATCACACTCAGTGGTGAAAAACTAAAAACTTCCTTTGAGATAAAAAATAAGGCAAGGATGCCCACTCTCACCACTTCTATTCAACATAGTACTAGAAGTCCTAACAACAGCAACTGGGCAAAAAAAGAAATACAAGATATAAAAATTAGAAAGGAAGAAGTAAAATTATCTGTTCATAGATAAAATGTCCTTATACATAGAAAACCCTAAAGATTCACACATGCATACACACACAAAAAAACCCCAGGAGAATTAATAAATGAATTCAGCAAAGTTTCAGGGTACAAAATCAACATGTAAAAATCAGTTACATTTTTACAAACTATTAATGTACAATATGAAAAGTAAACTATGAAAACAATTCATCAAAAATAATAAAATATGTAGGAATAAACTTAACCAAGGAGGCAAAATGCATGTACACTGAAAACTATAAAACACTGCTGAAATCAACCTACCTAAGGAGGCAAAAGACCTGTGCATGCAAAACTATAAAGTATTGATGAAAGAAATCAAAGATGATACAGGTGGAGAGATATACCATGTTCTTGGATTGGAAGAATCAATATTGTGCAAATGACTATACTACACAAAGCAATCTACAGATTCAATGCAATCCCTATCAAATTACCAATGGCATTTTTCACAGAACTAGAACAAAAAATTTTGCAATTTGTATGGAAACACAAAAGACCCCAAATAGCCAAAGCAATCTTGAGAAAGAAAAACAGAGCCAGAAAAAAAAGGAACAGTAAAAAAATAAAAATAAAACGGAGCCAGAGAAATCAGGCTCCTTGTCTTCAGACTACACTACAAAGCCACCGTAATCAAGACAGCATGGTACTGGCAAAAAAACATAAATATAGATCAATGGAATAGGATAGAAAGCCCAGAGATAAACCCATGCACCTATGGTCACCTAACCTATGACAAAGGAGGCAAGAATACACAATGGAGAAAAGACAGCCTCTTCAATAAGTCGTGCTCGGAAAACGGACAGCTACATGTGAAAGAATGAAATTAGAACACCATAACACAAAAATAAACTCAAAGTGGATTAAAGACCTAAATGTAAGGCCATACACTATAAAACTCTTAGAGGAAAACATAGGCAGAACATTCTTTGACATAAATCACAGTGAGATCTTTTTTGACCCACCTCCTAGAGAAATGGAAATAAAAACAAAAATAAACAAATGGGACCTAATTAAACTTAAAACCTTTGCACAGCAAAGGAATCCATAAACAAGATGAAAAGACAACACTCAGAATGGGAAAAGATACTTGTAAATGAAGCAACTGACAAAGGATTAATCTCCAAAATATACAAACAGCTTATGCAGCTCAATATCAAAAAAAGACCCAATCAAAAAATGGAGACCTAAATAGACATTTCTCCAAAGAAGACATATAAATGCCCAACAAACAAATGAAAAGATGCTCAACATCACTAATTATTAGAGAAATGCAAATCAAAACTACAATGAGGTATCACCTCACATTGGTCAGAATGGCCATCATCAAAAAAATCTACAAACAGTAAATGCTGAAGAGGGTGTGGAGAAAACGGAACCCTCTTGCATTGTTGGTGGGAATGTAAATTGATACAGCCATGATGGAGAAAAGTATGGAGGTTCCTTAAAAGACTAAAAATATAACTACCATATGACCCAGCAATCCCACTACTGGGCATATACCCAGAGAAAAACAAAATTCAGAAAGCTATATGCACCCCAATGTTCAGTGCAGCACTACTGACGATAGCCACAACATGGAAGTGAAGCCAGAAAGAGAAAAACAAATATCGTATATTAACGCATATATGTGGAATCTAGAAAAATGGTATAGACGATCTTATTTGCAAACTAGAAACAGAGACACAGACTCGCGAACAAACGTATAGATACCAAGGGGGAATGGAAGGGGATGGGATGAATTGGGAGATTGGGATTGACATATATACACTATTGATACTATGTATAAAATAGACAACTAATGAGAACCTACTGTATAGTACAGGGAACGCTACTAAATGCACTGTGGTGACCTAAATGAGAAGGAAATCCAAAAAGGAGGGGATATATGTATACGTATAGCTGATTCACTTTTCTGTAGAGTAGAAACTAATACAACATTGTAAAGCAACTATACTCCAATAAAAATTAATTAAAAAAAACACTGCTGAAAGAAATTAAAGAAGAGACAAATAAATGAAAAAACATCCCATGTTCCTGGATTTGAAAACTTAATATAGTTAAGGTCTCAGTACTACTCAAAGCAATCTGCAGATTCAGTGTAATCCCTATAAAAATCCAAGTGCATTTTTTGCAGAAGAAGTAGAAAAACGCATGCTAAAATTTATACAGGATCTCAAAGGATCCCAAATAGCCAAAACATCTTGAAAAAGAATAACAAATTTATACGTCTAGCATATACTAATTTCAAAACTTATTACAAAGCACAGGTAATCAAAATAGTGTGGTAGGGGCATAAAGACAGACATACAGACCAATGGAATAGATTAAAGAGCTTAGACCCTCACATGTATAGCTGATGACCTTTAATAAGGGTGTCAAGACCAATCAATGGGGAAAGAACAGTGTCTCCAAGAAATAGGTGAATAAACTGATATCTACATGTAAAACAATAAAGTTGGATGTTTACCTTACATCATACACAAAAATTAATTCAAAATGGGTTAAAGACTGAAACTTAAGACCTAAAACTATAAAATTTCTTGAAGAAAACATATGGAAAAATCTCATGATGTTGAATTTGACCATTCCCTTTGGTCCCTGTGATCCACATCTCCTGTTTGAGTTACAGGTCTCAGCGCCTCTTTGTTCACCAACTATGAACTATGACTAAAGGACACTGCCACAGACGGGTCAGTTAACTGCTGAACTTATGGACCCAAATCTCCTGGAGAGAGCTCAGAAGTGTACACCCTTTAAGAGTCAGTTGATGGTCTGTTATTGAATCATACTGAGTACATAACCCAAGGCCTTAAAATAATCTTAGTACTAGAAATCTCAATCAAAAGGTATCAATACTTTTGTTTCTGTTCTCTAATTATCTTAGGGTATTAACACTTTAGGTCAAAGTAGAAATTTTCTATGAAATATATGCCCAGGACTTCCCTGCTGGTCCTGTGGTTAAGACTCTGCACTTCTACTGCAGGGGGCGTGGGTTTGATCCCTGGTTGGGGAACTAAGAGCCCACATGCCATGCAGTGAGGCCAAAAAATTAAAAATAAATAAATTGACTTAATTTAAAAAATAAAATAAAATAAAATACATGCCCAAATACATATCCATGAACCAAACAAAAAAGCTCATTTGATGAGTTTAATTTAAAATATTTTAAAATTTTCTATAATTACTATACTTACTAGTGTGTCCTTCCCTTCTGAGATTTCTTCCTCTCTTTACTTGCTGTTGGATTTTTGACACTGAATCTTGATTCTCATGCATAAGCTTCTTATCTGGTACTTTATCATGAGCTTCAAAAAGAGATACATTCACTCCACTTAAATGGGAAAATAGATTTATTGTGAAATCTCTAATTTCAAATTTATAATAATTATGCAGCAGCATCTTCTCTCATTTTTATAAAGTTTTACGTAAATTGCCACAATGCTAGATCCACATGAAAATTGCGAGATCATTTTTGATAGATGTACGTTGAAACGGTCTCAGTGTTTCATAAACATTCCTAGGCATCAAATATGTTTTATATTAGTCTCTAGTTTTCTTGCGTTATTTATACTTTAGGTAAATACATATTTATAGGCCAAACAATGAAAACGTGTACATACTACCACATGTAAAATAGATAGCTAGTGGGAAGCAGCCGCACAGCACAGGGAGATCAGCTTAGTGCTTTGTGACCACCTAGAGGGGTGGGATAGGGAGGGTGGGAGGGAGACACAAGAGGGAGGAGATACGGGGATATATGTATATGTATAGCTGATTCACTTTGTTATAAAGCAGAAACTAACACACCATTGTAAAGCAATTATACTCCAATAATGATGTTAAAAAAAACACAAACCTATGTTGACTTCTTAAAAAAAAAAAAGAAAATGTGTAAGTACAAGTTTTTCATTACAGTATTATGTGTAATTGCAAAATAGCTAAAAGCAACAAAATATATAAGCATAGAAGATTGGTTGAATAAATTAAAGTATATATTATAAACTACGGTGAAGTATAAATTATGGTATATGATGTAGTATAACAAGTGTACCTACTACTGTAAAAGAAATGCAAAAGGTCTCTATAAAACGAATTGGAGGGATTTCTAGGAGGCAACAATAAATGAAAAAAAAACTGAAATAAAGAATATCTAGGGCTTCCCTGGTGGCGCAGTGGTTGAGAGTCTGCCTGCCGATGCAGGGACACGGGTTCGTGCCCCGGTCCGGGAAGATCCCACATGCTGCGGAGCATCTAGGCCCGTGAGCCATGGCCGCTGAGCCTGCGCGTCCGGAGCCTGTGCTCCGCAACGGGAGAGGCCACAACAGTGAGAGGCCCGCGTACCACACACACAAAAAAGAAACCTTTTCTGTAAAAGACTTGGTAGAGTGGGATGCAAAAAAAAAAAAAAAAAAAAAAAATCACAAAAAATTTAGTAGGTTTTTCCCCTAGTATCAGCTAAGTGACTGAAACAATTTTAGAAGCATTATAGGATGGAGTGAATATATAAATGTGTTGATGTTGCTCAAAGTCAGGATTCTCACTGTGGAAGGACATCCACATATAAAATGAAGGCAGGCAAAAACAAGCCCTAGGGGTATTAACTGGAATTGAAGGTGCCTGTAAGAACTCATAATTTCTAAATATGCCTATGTATGTGTATATGCATATATATGTTCACTTTTATGTGTATGTAGGTATAGGTACGTATGAATGTGTGCGTGCATGTGTGTGTGTGTGTGTGTGTGTGTGTGTGTGTGTGTATACATACACTGAGGCTCCAACTGCAAGTCAAAACCCTGTATATGATCTTTCAGCCCCATAAGCAATTACAAACCTACCTGGCAGTTCTTATAGGGAAAAGCTTCCAACCCCACAATGACTTGATGTATAACACTGCAGGCACTAGAAGTAGCTGCAGTCAGGCTGACCCTTAACCTCCACTTCTAGATGACCATGATCTTACATTTATCTGCATTCTGGCCTAGGAACCTCCATTCAGAGGTTCAGATGTACTGAACCTGTACTGTTCAGATGCCTCTACCTACACCACCTTAAAGATAGACCTGGAAGACACTGTTCTCAGTCTGATTCGGTGTAAAGCACTTATCTGCTCCAAACTCTGCCTCCTCATCCTTCCCCTGGGCCCAGTGTCCTTAAAACAGCAGGAGCCTTTTGTTTGGGGCAGTGAGATGTTGCCCCCACTCTCTCCTGTCTATAATGATACACCTGACCCTTGCCTAGTGCTGTTCTGTGGGGAAAATGGAAGACTGGTAGAGCTTCAGCCCTCTTCTGTTTAGATTCTTGCTTATACTATCAGAGTAAGTGAAAAAAGGCAGAATTTTACTTTGTTTAGTTTGTTATCTTAATTGGCCAACTTGACAACCGGCAGCTCTCTAGCTCTCTGAGAAACTGGTACAGTGAGCAAAGTGATCAATATAATGCTGTAGATCCTACAAATGCTGTAGATCCTACACACTTTTAGGAGGTGTGAGAGATTTGGGCCACCCCTGGACTTTGCAAATGGATCAACTGCAAGAGTGTGAGGATCCAATGGGACACTTAGCCTGTGAGCCTCAGAAAGTGCTGGTGGAGGCCACAGAGCACTCTTAGAAAGTTCTCACAAATTGTTAAATAAGACTTTCAGTTTGAAGGGAACATTGGACCTTCACTTTAGCCTCCAAACTCTGGTCAAGTTCCACTGAGTCAAATTAGAGATCTAACAGAGGGACTCTTAAGAGAGCTAAGGAAACAATTCCCTAGCTAATGGCTATGGTTCTCCAGAGACAGACCTAAAAGTCATCAGAGACCCTGAAAGCTGAGTTATACTCTATGACTATTGTTAGTTCTAAGTCCTGACACCGAGACTCATGCCTTTAATATAAAAGAATGTATAGGACTTTGGAATCACTTTGCCCAGTGACCTGGAGAGAACTTAAGACTTGGGTCTTACCAGACTCAGATTTCTAAGTTCACTTTTGTGAATCCTATTGGTTAACAAGCTCAATCAAATTTCCTCATAAGTTGTGTCAGTCAGTTGTGACACAGTCAGATCCTAATTGGCAAATTTTCAGGCATGCAGAAATTGCTGCCCAGAAAGAAAAAGTGATGTAAAAATGGTAATAATGCTCCCTCTACTGGATGTTATGGGCAATGACCTTACCTAAAAATCTATGGGCCTGATTACCATACAGTGGGGTCTGAAAGCAGTAAATTAATGCTCTCCACCAAGGTACTCATTGTTAGATGATGGGCCATGAGGACCCAGCATGTAGCCCCACTACAGTCCACTTTGTGGTGGCCACTATGAATAATGCAAGTGCTATTCTCGCTACCTTTATCAGTGAATTCTGAGATGGATCAAAGAACTCCACATACACTGACCCTGATCACAGCTTTCAAAAATAAAAAACAAGGGCTTCCCTGGTGGCGCAGTGGTTGAGAGTCCGCCTGCTGATGCAGGGGACACGGGTTCGTGCCCCGGTTCGGGAAGATCCCACATGCCGTGGAGCGGCTGGACCCGTGAGCCACGGCCGCTGAGCCTGAGCGTCCGGAGCCTGTGCTCCGCAATGGGAGAGGCCACAACAGTGAGAGGCCCGCATACCACAAAAAAAAAATAAAAATAAATAAAAAACAAGATTGGGTTATACCAAGGTTCCTACATCCCCAGTGAAGATATATGAGGGCCTATTCCAGTACAAATTGCAGGCAGGCGAGAATTACATTTCTTGGGCCTTTTGGATGGCGGTACACTGATAACTGTAATCCCCACAAGCCCTGGCACCAGGATGAGGGGAAAACAGATAATGCTGTCTGGTTTGGGGCCACCACCACAAAGAGAAACCTTTTCCAGGCCACACTACCGTACAGTGCATTGTTATGGCCTCTACTACTGAATATATTGTCGGTATAGATGTATTATTTACGTGACCCACCACTCGCATCCACTCTCATGTTGTGACGGGATTTGCTGCAGTTAGGATATTTTAATGGGGCAGGTGGAAGATCTTGAGCGACCCAACTACCAGAACCTAGTGCCCGTATCTACCAAAAACAATACTGACTCCCTGGGTGTAAAAAAGAAATAACTGCCCTTGTTGCTGAGCTTAAAGAAGCCAACAAATTCCATAGACTACTTCTCCATTTAACAGGCCTGTGCACAAAACGTCAGGTGCCTACAGACTAAGTAATTAAGGCTGCACAGAGTGTTAGTACCAACCTGGCACTGTGACTGTCACAGAAGCTATTGCCCAAGGTGAAGGAACTTGGTATACAGCAACCAACAACTTGAACTCTCTCTTCAGCATCCTTCGTCATGCAAATGACCAGGATCAGTTCACCCTTATGTAGAATTAATTGAAATATGCCACTAATGTCCTTCCACAGGGCTCCCTAAATTCCCCATCTGCCTATCTTCAATGGATAGAGCATGACTTAGAAAAAGTCCCACTCACAGAGGGAATAATAGCTTTCTACTATATTGATGACATCCTTCTGGTGGGCCCAGGCAAAGGCACCATCCCACAGGACTGCACACCCTGTTGATCCATATGTGGCAACATGGCTGGGTCATTAATATAGACAAGGACTTAGTATCCAAGTGAAATTCCAGGGTAGCAGATAAAAATCTTACTCTAGAGGAGATGTTTGCATATCTTTTGGCCCTCCCTTCCCCAAATTATAAAAAAAAAAAAAAGTCTGAATATTGATGGGACTCTCTGACTACTAACACATTTGCATTCTGCCCACAGGGGTTTGATGGCACATATCTGTGGGGTTAGCATAAATGCTATTACCTCTGAGTGGAGACCCAACCAACAGGATGCTCTGGAGGACTTCCATCAGGCCATTCAAGCTGCCTTCCCTCGGACCCACCTGATCCCCATTTGGTTTTTAACTTACTGACCTCTTTTCACCCATCGAAGCCTATAGCAAAAAGACACTGACATAGGTGAGAGGCACCCACTGATCTTTTGGAGCAGAAATTTCCCAGGTCGGCTGAAAGGTACACAGCCTTAGTGAGACAACTATTGACCTATTATTGCCCTTAATGGATACTGAGGATGAAATAGTCTTATGATCAGAAATTCCAACCAAATTGTATCAATAATTTCAAGTTTTGCTCTCTAGTTGTCTTAGGGTATTCATACTTTAAATCAACATGTATGGCTTCCCTGGTGGCGCAGTGGTTGAGAGTCCGCCTGCCGATGCAGGGGACACGGGTTCGTGCCCTGGTCCGGGAAGATCCCACATGCCGCAGAGCAACTGGGCCCGTGAGCCATGGCCGCTGAGCCTGCGCGTCGGGAGCCTGTGCTCCGCAACGGGAGAGGCCACAACAGTGAGAGGCCCGCGTACCGCAGGAAAAAAAAAAAAAAAAATCAACATGTAAAATTTCTGCAAAACAAATGCTGAGATATTATCTTCAGGAAGCAAAGAAAAAAGATCTTCTGATGAGTTTAATTTAAAATAATATGAAGTTATTTATAATTATTGTACTTACTAGAGAGTCTTTCCCTTTTGAAAGTTCTTTGTTTCTTTACTTGTGTTTGGCTTTTTGACACTGAATCCTGATGGTTAAGCATAAGCTTTTCATCTGATGCTTCATCATAACCTACATCAAGAAATGCATTTAGCCCACTGAATAGAAAATATATATCTATTGTGAAATACCTAAGCTTCAACTTTATACAAGTGTACAGCAGAACTTTCTTTCATTTTGATAAAGTTAAAAATAAATTACCATAATGCTAGGTATGACATGAAAATTGTGAGAAAAGTTTTAATGAGTGTTTTGAATATATTTCTATTAGTCTCTAGTTTTCTTCGGTTATTTATACTTTAGGTTACAATCATAGGCCAAACAATGAAGACACATATGCACAAGGTTACTTATCAGAGCATCATTTGTAATTGCATAATATTCAAAACCAGCTAAATATTCACAGACTATTGCTTGAATAACCTAAGAAATATACTATAAACTATAATATACAGCTGTAAAAATGAATGAAAAAGTTTTCTAGAAACTGACATGAAAGAATTTCCAAGAAAGAATGTTAAGTGAAAAATAAAAGTGAAAAAGCAGATATCTAGCATATTACCTCTGAGGTAAGAAAGAAGGGGAAGGGGGAAAATTAAGAAAAATAGAGACACTTACATTTACAAAATGAAATACAGAAATAATAAACCAGAAAACGATATAATAGATGGTTACTTGCAACAGAAGGGGTAAACTGGGGAATGTAGGGGAAGGGATTCAGGAAAAGATGATCTCTCTCTCTCTCTCTCTCTCTCTGTCCCTCCCTCTCCCTCTCCCTCTCCCTCGGTCTCTTTTGAAAGTAGGTTGATATTCTATATATTCCAAAAAATTATATTAACAAGAATATGACGAGTACACTAAACAGGAAAGCAACTTAAGAAATAAATCAACTGAACTTAAATTAAAAAGGCACTAATCCAACTAACTCATGAATACAGTACTACACTCTCAAATCTTGGGTAAGAGAAATAAAATCATGAAATATTTTACATGGTTTATTTTTCTAATGATATAAGCTAATCAGTCAGTTCTAAAACATTTTTAGAGTTTTACAGGATTGAGCAAACAAGTAAATAGGCTGATGTTGTGCGAAGTCAGGATTTACACTATGAAAGAAGGGACATGCACACAGAAGTGGAAGAAGGCAAGAACAAGCCTTGAGGGGACAGATTAGAATTGAAAGTATCTGTAAGAAACTCGTAATTTCTAAATATGTCTATGTATATATGCATGCACATACACACATGTGTGTGTTTGTAGGTATATGTATGTATGAATATGTATATGTATGTGTGTATAAATATATATATACACATATAGACACACACGTGTATTTGTATTTTCTAGTCTGACTGCTCAATGTACCTCAAAGCTACCCCAGTACCAATGGGCACAAGTAGTTTTCAGATCTTGGTTTCTAATAACATTTCCCATTAAAAAAAATCACGGCTCCTAGGAAAAAGAGCTGATTCCAGCTATGAGACAGGAAATGTGCAAGACAGGAAATGTGCAAGACAGCATGGGACATCTTGTCATACTAAACTAAACAGTAGGGAATTTCTCAATGACTACTCATACTAGGGTCATGTCATAAAGCCATAGTAATTATCTTGGAGAAATTCCTACTTGCTAATGCTAGGATAATCTTAGAACTAAAAAAAGAAGAATAGTATGAGTTATAAAATCATACAAAGTAATTTAATTAGAAGTTTAAAAGAAGAGAGTGCCAAGGGCACAGTCCACTATTCACCAGTTAGAATTAGAATTCATGATTTCTGTCTACTCTGATTTCAGGAGAATGATTGCTCTGGGATTTGAAGAAGCATTAGAAGCCTGTCAATAACACAGTACTATTGTTATCAGTGTTGTTATTGTTCTGTAAAAAGCTGAATTTTTTAAAAGGGAAGGAACTACGTTGGATTCCATCAGAAACTTGTGAAAATGTCTGTCCGGGACCACTTTAAGTTCTCGAGTTTATGTCTTAATTATCAAAATGATTCTTTGAAGCACAAAATATTATTCCTTCATCTGTACATGAGAAAACTGAGGGACAGAGAAGGTAATTAGTTTAACCAAAGTTATATGATTAATAACTGGCTGAGCTTGAATTCATACCCAAGAAGTTCAGCTCCAGAGCCTGAGCTCTAAACTACTACTTTTACTTCTTCCAGTAAATACAAGAAATACAAAAAGAATATAACTATAGAAAATAGAAGATATTTTAAAATTATAAGACAATATTTTATATATCTTTGTATCAAAAGTGATATAAGTCTAGACAAAGTAAATAACATTCTCACAAAATATATTACCAAATATATTTAATGAAATACAAAAAAACTTGAATAGACTAATATCCTCAGGGGAAAATACTGAAAATCTACTGCTAAAAATGTCATAAGGCTAAAGAGTTTTAGGGGAAATGTCTATGAAACCATCAAGGATTACAGAATATCTATGCTATATAACCTATAAAAAATTTAGAAAAAGACACATTTTTCTCCATTTCATTTTACAATGCTAACAGTACCCTGATGCCCAAACTAAAGAAGAACAGAACAAAAAATCAGCCATATCATTTATGATTGTATCATTGCAAACTGTATAAATTGAGATAGGTGAGATTATGTTGAAGTAACAAACAATTGTAAAATTCCAGTGGCTTAAATACAAAGATCTATTTCCTGTCCCTACTCCATGTTCATTAAAGTTTACCTAGAGGTTCTGCTCAACATTATCACTTTGGAACTAGGGCTGATATAAATCTTACTATCTGCAACATTCCTAGCCACAGCAGCAAAGGAAAAGAGAGAATGAAGGGAAGCACACACTGGCCCCTAATGCTTCCACACATGACCAATTCATGCTAAACTGACCTAAGGAAATCACATGGCCACATCTAAGTTAAGAAGTCAAGACGGTGACATCAGGAAGATGGCAGAACAGAAAACCCTAGACTCTCCTCCCCATGGAGATACCAATTCAACAACAATACAAGGACCAATTCTCTTTGTGAGAAATGCAGAGACCAGGTGAGAGGTTCCTGCAGAATGGGTCGAAGATGAACCAGCAACACAGAAGCCAGAAGGTAAATTTGTGACGCCCTCTAGCAATAATTCTTCCTCCTATCTCAGCACCACTAATCAGGAGGAAAATGTCAGCTCCCAGCTTGCCCCTGGGAAGTGAAGAAAAGGACTAAAACATGTGTCCAAAGCTCAGACTTTTTGGGGGGCTACTGTGGGACTGGTTTCTGTCTGGCTTGAATCTCAACACTGAAAGGAAAGGGCCCAAGGTTGGGAGCTGCTGAGAACAAAGGTGATAATATGAGCTAGTATACACTCAGTGAGTACACTCAACATGAGCTAGTATACAAGCAGGCAACCCCCCCCCATCCCAGCTTCTTCCTGGGGAGGGTAAGAATTGGAACATTCACCCACATTTCAGCTTTTCAGGGGGATGCCTGAGGCCCTAGCTTCTGTATTGCCTGCCTTGATGTACTAATGGGACCCAGAATATTCTAGTTGTTTAGGGACCACTAAGAACAAAGATGACAGTTTAGACTAGTATGCACTCAAAAGTCAAAGCTCCTCTCCCCAGCTCAGAACAATGCATTTGAGAAACAGTTTCAAGATTCTCCCTGGGGAAGGAAAGAGAAGACTCAAATATATGTCCGATGTTCAGACTTTTCAAAGAACTATGCCAAGGGACTGTTATCTGTCTTGTATCTCTCAGAGCACTGACCAGCCTCCACATACACTACAAGCCTGGGGACTGCTGAAAACAAAACCAACAAACAAGAGTTGGGTGGTAGGCTGCTGCTCCACAGGGTCTGCAGAACAGCAGAGAGATACCAGAGGGAGCAAGAGATCATGAACTCCTGTAAAAAAGAGAACCCCTTCTAATTAAGAATTTACATACACAAGTCCAGGGAAGACACATCAACACAACAGGTGTGACAGGTCTCCAGAACCTCTAGCCTGGCTGATTGGAGAAGGTTTTCCTCCGTATGAATCCAGTCTGTACAGAGGTGGTAGATTTTTCACATGTGCAGACACTAACACATAGTGTCAAGGAGCAAGAAGAAAGAAACACGGCCCAATAAAAGGCTCCAGAAACTTATCTTAAAGAAATGTATGTATATGAATTACCTGACAAAGATTTCAAAATGCCAATCATAAAAACTCTTAACTACCTCAGTAAAATGTTGCAAGAACAAAATGAGTATTTTAACAAAGAGAGAGAAAATACTTTAAAAAACACCACACAAATTTTGGAGCTAAAAAATACAATAACTGAAATTTAAAATTCAGTAGAGGGGTTCAATACGAGATTTGATAAAACAGAAGAAAGAATCAGCAAACTTGAAGACAGGTCATTTGAAATTATCCTATCATAGAAAGAAAAAAGATAAAAATGAAAAAGTAAAGAACTGAAAGGGCAAATGGTACATTATAAAACAAAGCAGTATACACATTACAGAGTCTCAGAAGAAGACAGAAAGGGAAAGAAAGTTTATTTGAAAATAATCGCTTAAAACTCCCCAAATCTGGGAGATAAAATTGATACCCCATTTGAAGAAACCTAAATGTCTCCAAAAAGGAAACCTAAAGAAGTTCACACCAAGGTACATTATAATCGAAGCATCAGAAGTCTAAAACAAAGAGAGAATTTTGAAATCAGTAAGAGAAAAGTGACTTCTCACATACAAGGAACCCCTACAATACTACCAACAGATTACTCAGCAGAAACCCTGAAGACAACAAAGGAGTGGGATGATATATTAAAAGTGCTGAAAGAAAAAAAAATCCTGCCAACTAATAGTTCTCTATCCAGCAAAACAATTCTTAAAAAACAAAGCAAAAATAAAGACTTTCCCAGATAAACAAAAGCTTGAGAGCTTATCACCACTAGACCTGCCCTATAAGGAATACCAGAGAGAGTCGTTCAAACTGAAATTAATGGAATCTAAACAGAAACACAAAAGTATACAAAACACAGACTATAAAAACATGTTAATAAATACAAAATATAAAAAAGATATAATTTGTGACAACAAGAACATTAAAAGGAGA